CGCCCAGGGGAGCGATCCTTAAATGTATTCTCATCCCTACCTAGCACGAGGCCTTTTGGGAGCTCACTGGCTTCGAGTTCGTAGGAACTCCGAAGTTAAGCGAGAAGGGGGCTAGAGCAATCCCATGATGGGTGACCCACTGAGAAGTTGCTCGTGAGTTCCCAAAAACAAAACCGTGAGGGAATGGTAAGCCCAAAGCAGACAATATCGTGCTAAGATGGTGGAGCGGGCCCGAAAAGTAATCCGCCCTGGGCCGGGATGTGAAAGAGATGATTTGTGGCCTAAAGTTTCAGCGCATATCTAGTGAGACAAGCTTATTCTTTTGGTAATTTGATCTAACGGCTAAAATTATTAAATTTTAAAGTGAGCTCCTATTTGTAACCGTTTGATCAAATTTTAAAAGCTCGGATTTGTGGCCTTGGTGGACTTATTGGAAGGGATTTGTGGCCTTGGTGGACTTATTTCTACGGCTAGAAATAAACATAGTTGTGCAACGGAAGAAAAATTGTGTGAAAATCACTTACCTTAAATTTTATAGATGAATTATTTGTCTTGGTATTGAACTCCTAATCAAATTTTTATTGTGGTTTTTGCATAAAGTTTTGAATTTTTGGGATGATTTTGTTTAGTGAGGTAATTGAAGCAGTGGTTCTTGAAATTTTATAGATGAATTATTTGTCTTGGTATCAAATATAACAAAAAATTGACCCGTAATTTTAAAAATATCAGTTTTTTTAAATAAAAAATTATCATATGTAGCCAAAAAGTTAGTTCAATCGACACACACCTTTTAGTATAAAAGCAATGCTTTGGTTATATATGAGTCTTCGATTGCAATTGATTTCATTCATATTTGGGTATTTTTACAGAAATAGAATAGTTTGATTTGTTTTGCCATACATTTCGTCATACCAGTGAAAAAGTAAAATAAAATATGAAAAATTTCTTTCATTTGTGTTTTATCTCAGACTAAAGTGATATTTGACTGTTGCAAACCTTTTACAACATTAGTCAGACGTTGAAGTGTCATTAAACTGGTTCAAACCATTATGACTTTATGGGACTCATTGAGTTACGTGATGGAGGAAATCCTAATCTGGTGTATGGCCTCTAGATCGGCTACACACACAAATCCCCCTTGTAATTTTGTATCACCAAGGCCCACTCTCGCAGAAAAAGTGTGGGATGTCGTAAGTCATACACAAGAATCTCTATCACTTACAAGGTAAGACTTCTTTCTTTGTCCTAATTGTGTGAAAATTGCATTATTCCAACTTGGAACCTGCTACTCTTGTTCCTTAAAGACTTAAAAAGTAAAAGTACCCCACCATTTAGACAACCATTTTTCTAATTGTTACATTCTTTTGCTAATTTTAAATGAATGTCTCACTCCATAACTTCAAGACCGTTCTTCAAATCAACTTATCACATTATTCAAGATCTTCTTATATATAAATAGTTGATTTTAAATGAATGTCTCACTCCATAACTTCAAGACCGTTCTTCAAATCAACGTAACACATCAATCAGGATCTCTTATATATAAATAGTTGATTTTTCAAACTTGTTAAAATTTGATTAGTTCAACTTTCTCATCTTTGGAATTTTCTATGTAAGAATAATCCTCAGATGCCAAAAACTCTTTTGGTATAGCCAACTGATACGACAGTCTTCATTCCTAACTTATATTGTATGCGTGTTGACCGTGGGGTATCCCAGATCCATGAAGTTTCTTGATTCACCAAGCACCCACACGTCTAACTACATCCCAAACTATTGTGTTTAGTTTACGATTCATATTGTTTCATCTGACTAGCATTCGAAGTAAAGTACGGCCGAATAATTAGTTTTGCTTATGAATTAATGGGCTTTGTTAGGCAAGTTTTGGTATACCATACTAAATGCGAAGAGAAAAACTTGGGCAGGGATGACATGGTAAGTGATATGTATATATAGTTTCCAGGTAAAAAATATAGTGTTACAGAATTCAACCTCACAAAACATGTTACAGTAAAATAGATAAAACCAGTAGACATTTTCAACAATGGCAGTGCAATGTATAGTCGTTAAGGCCTAAAGTCGTATAAATATGAAGTGAAATCTAACGATTGGTGTCTGAAAATGAGTTACAGAGGAGGAAGAGAAAGATGGTTAATTATAACCACATTGTGGTGTATTCAAACGAAACCAAGTGATCGCCCTTCGATGTACAAAGTCATCGAAATGCTTGGAAGAGATGTTGAATGTCTGCAATTGCTTCTTAGGCCTTCTTGTGCCCACAAGAGGCGTCTGTGACTGTGGGTGATATTAAAGAAAATAAATCGAACCCAATGTGTTCTAACATCGAGCTAACATGTTCATCATCAACTAGGTGAATGTCAAATTGTTAAGAAAGTGCAATAATGTTATAATAATTAAATTCTCACTTTAAAGTGATTTAATTAGTAAAGAATTGTTGTCTGTAAATGTTGTTAAAGTTTGGATGTGTGTGTGTACAAAAAATTGAAAGAATGAAGAACAGTCACTGAAGATTTTGAGAGAATGATGGATAGTTCTCTCTGCAAAATACACACAGGGATATACTTCTATTTCTCTCTCTTGCACACGAAATCGTGCACTACATAACACTTAGTTATGCAGCTGGATTCTCACCATTACACCAATGAGATCTCAACCACACATCTAGCTAGATTCTAGGATTCAAATACATGTCACTAGACATCGACAAATGCAATACATGTCACTACACTTGGTAATTTATAACTCAAGTGATTACACAACTAAATACAAGACATTACTACTAATGTAATCAGCTCATGGCTTATACACTAACAAATGTTTGTGCTTGAATTCATCTATGAACTACCGGTTGGTGGTATACATCTACATGTTTACTCTAATTCAGCAATTGCTTCTAACTCTAGGAGACGCCTTTTGGGGATGCCTGCCTGTGATGTTTGTGTAGGACCTGCAGAAACAAAAGGATTAGGAGGCATCCTCAAGTTTTCTCCTCCTCCTAGCATCTAAACAACCGTTTTCATGGAAGGATGATCCATCGGGTACCACTGGATGCACCAGAGCCCTACAATTGCAAGTTGCTTTGGAATCTTACCATCCCCTTCTTCCCCGATATGGATTCGTAGGTCATCTCCTTCCTCTAGAAGGTTATAAATCCATTATGGATAGTAAATTTCATTGGTATGTCCTCTGTGGTTGAAGCAATATTCTTCTTTCCTCCTATCATCTCAAGCAGCAGCATTCCAAAACTATAAACATCTGCCTTGTAAGACACATTTCCAAAATTCCTGGAAAACACTTCGGGTGCAATGTAGCCCATGGTCCCCCTCGCTGTAGTCATTGACACTATGCTTTGATCCTTGGAACATAACTTGGTCAGACCAAAATTAAAGATTTTTGGTGTGAAGTTTTGGTCTAGCAAAATATTGTGGGGTTTGATATCGAAATGGAGGCTTCGTAGATCACACAAATAATTGCTTTTGCAGCACAAATTGCATTTATATAACACTAAACAAACCTATATTTTTCCTTTTTAATACTTGGTTTGATTACAGAATAACGCTTTTTGCTTGAGCTACAACAAACTCTACATCTTTCTCCATTCTAAAATTGAGGAGAGCTGCAGTCAACCTTTGCCACTCGATTTCACGCTATTTACAATAAAAAAGATCAGATTTTGCCTCGGTTGGAAAGGTAATTCTTAAAAGTTAGGAGGTAATTTTGTCCGTAAGTTTGGTTGCCCTCCTATACACGTGTTGGCCGACCATGAGATGGGTTGCATTCGATGGGGACGACGGCTGTGTGGAGAGTCGAGGAAGATGAAAAGTGCGTTGAAAGGAAAGCAGATGGTTACCCTACTGACTCCTGTTTGCGCTCTCCTCCCTCTCAGTTCCTCTTTCTCCTCTACTGAAACCACAATCTTCCTCTCCTCGGCGCGCTCCCATGTCTCTCGCCATGGAGCCCACAAACTAAGCAAGTAGTGACGGTCACAAGACTCAAACATGGCGGATGCGTACTGGAGGTATAATGACGGCTAGCAACCGCCGCCTCGGCGATGAATATAGCCGTCGGAAAGCGTCCTCGCTTCGGTTACAGTATGATGGATTCCTTGAATACCCCTTTTTTTTTCCTCTTTCATTTTTGCGTTGGTTTGGGGTGGGATCTGGGTTTTCTCATTGCTTAAATTTTGCATTTTTTTTTTCTTTTCTGGATTTCAATTAAGAAATGGATAAATTTGGGAGTTCTGATGACTTTGTTCCTTATCAGCTGCCAATACCAGTGCCAGAGATGGATCTACGGCCACCACCGCCAACCACGCCGCTGGGAAGATCTTAGATTGAAACTGGAACTTTGTACGAGGTTTCATGAATAGAGGAAGTGTGTTGCTCACTCTCTGAGTGTTTCGTCGAGGGGTGAACACGGTTATTTTACTTTATTGTCTTATTGTAAGTTGTAACTGAGATTTGTGGCTTATCATTCTTACATTCATTGCTTTTTGTTGATGAATGTAATCTGATTTTGCAGGTCAAGGTTTTTCAACAAGAAAATTAACCTGCAAATTAAATTGAGGTATGAATGAGTTTCCAACTTTTATTTTTTGGTCTGCGTTTTCTTTTTTTTTCTTTTTTTTTTTTTTGAAATTAGATATTTTTTTGTAGACATTTTTCCATAAAATTGACTAAATTACTCATACTTTTACACATGCATCAGCTATGGCTCAATGGTTTAAAAATTAAATACCAGAAAGATGGTTATTCTAGCTTTCTAAACAGGTTTGTATCTATTTTATTTTTATTTTTTGCAATGCTCCTCTGCACTACAAGGTCTCTCTCTCTCAAAAGATTCAATTTTTGTTTCTGGGTCTTTGTTTTCTCATTGTTTCACTGGTGGGTTTTTGTTTTTTTTTTTTGTTACGTTGGTGGGTTTTGTTTTTTTAATTGTTACATTGACCGGTTTTTAATTCTCTTTGTCCATTTGCAAGAATGTGTAATTTTGTTAATGAGGTGGAGTTGCAATAAGAATTGCATTGCATTTGGTTGCAGTGTGTTTGTTTCCACCGCGTTATCAAAGGCTTTATGATACAAGGTGGAGACATGGCTGGAAATGGCAGTGGGGGAGAGTCAATTTACGGGTTGAAGTTTGAAGATGAAAACTTTGACATAAAGCAGAGAGAAAAGGAATGTTGTCTATGGCTAATAAAGGCCTTGACACCAGTGGCTCTCAGTTTTTCATTACCACCACTTGGACTTCTCATCTGGATGGGAATGCGTTGGGAAGGTGATCAAGGGCATGGGTGTGGTTCGCTCAGTGGAATGTGAACACGAAGGGCGGAGACTTGCCTATCCAATAGTATGTTTTTTAATCTTTATACAGAAGCAAGACTACAGATGGCCCTCAAAAGTAGCGCAGGTTTTGTGGTATGGGATATATGCTGCGAGCTGGAAGAATAGATGAAGGTAAACCAGTTGCTTTGCACTACAGAGTGTCCCTTGCTTTCTTTGATCATCTTATGACATTATCTTTGTGATTAAACAGAGATGAGCTCCTCTTTGCGGGAGACAAAAGTCCAAGATATTTACTAATAGCTCAGTAAGAATTTTCATTTATCAAATTTGAAAGCACTGGATGTTAAATGAATTCTCTTGGAAACCCTCTTGAAATGAAGCAAACTTACTGTCTGGATAAGTAAACCAATTTCAGTTAAGCAGTGTAAATGACAAGTTGTTGAACTATGGTTATTGCAGAAAGTGTACATTTATGAGTGGTAGTGATTGACATCAAAATTGTATTAGTAACTTAATCATACTTAAATTAAGCCTGTTAGACAAAGTGAAAATTACTGTGGGTTCTGAGTTGCTATGAAGAATCCTTGAAATGAGTGAAACCAAAAAGACAACTATGAATATGGTAATCAGGCCTCGCTTTAATACTTCTCTGATAGGTGAGTTTTGTTCAGGCCTGCAGGTTGAAATTAGGAGACCTAGACGGAGCGTTGTTGGACACAGACTTTGCATTGCGTGATTGGGAAGCTAATGTGAAGGCCTTGTTTCGCCAAGGCCAGGTAATAATCTTTAATTGGCAAGAATTCATAGAGCCTTCTGGTTGCCGTTTATTACATTTTTTAATTGAAGTAGTTGTGTCCTTTTTTTTTTTGCATGGGATAGAAACTGACTCAAATGTGGGTAAGAACCGTGAATCTCTAATCCTCTTCCTCTTTTCAGTGTCTTTTAATGTAGCTCCCAATTGATCATTTTCTGTGGTTTTTGTTTTCTGGGTTTTTTGGTTGTCTAGAAAATGCCGTAAACGAAGGAAAGTTTGAAGCATTTTTGTTTTATTTTGGGTTGTACGATTAAGTTCTCTGTATTTGTAGAGGATGTGTTTACTTCGTCTAAGCTAAACATTAAGAGAGATTTAGTTGTTGAATGTTTGAACAACTCTTTATATGTAAATAGCTTTGTCAACAACTACTATATATTATGCAAATACTTATTTTGCATCTACGCACAATGCTTCAACACATTTAGTCCCTTATCCCAACACTAATTGTACTTAAAATATGATAGTAACTTAATCATACTTAAATTAAGCCTGTTAGACAAAGTGAAAATTACTGTGGGTTCTGAGTTGCTATGAAGAATCCTTGAAATGAGTGAAACCAAAAAGACAACTATGAATATGGTAATCAGGCCTCGCTTTAATACTTCTCTGATAGGTGAGTTTTCTGTTCAGGCCTGCAGGTTGAAATTAGGAGACCTAGACGGAGCGTTGTTGGACACAGACTTTGCATTGCGTGATTGGGAAGCTAATGTGAAGGCCTTGTTTTCGCCAAGGCCAGGTAATAATCTTTAATTGGCAAGAATTCATAGAGCCTTCTGGTTGCCGTTTATTACATTTTTTAATTGAAGTAGTTGTGTCTTTTTTTTTGCATGGGATAGAAACTGACTCAAATGTGGGTAAGAACCGTGAATCTCTAATCCTCTTCCTCTTTTCAGTGTCTTTTAATGTAGCTCCCAATTGATCATTTTCTGTGGTTTTGTTTTCTGGGTTTTTTGGTTGTCTAGAAAATGCCGTAAACGAAGGAAAGTTTGAAGCATTTTTGTTTTATTTTGGGTTGTACGATTAGTTCTCTGTATTTGTAGGGGATGTGTTTACTTCGTCTAAGCTAAACATTAAGAAGAGATTTAGTTGTTGAATGTTTGAACAACTCGTTATATGTAAAATAGCTTTGTCAACAACTACTATGGGCTGGTTTGGTATTGCTGTGCTTTGAAAAAAAGCTGCTTCTGCTGTGCTGTGAGAATAAGCAGCTGTGAAATAAAGCAGCAGAGTGTTTGGTAAAACTTTTTTGTAAAGTGCTTTTGAAAAAAAAAAAGCAATATTAGAGTGTTTGGTAAACTTTTATGTAAAACAGATGTGAAAAAAACACCGATTTTTCAAAGCTAGGTTTTGCAAGCTTCTTGTTTTTGGCTTTTTTTCATCCAAAACTGTGAAAAAAAGCTGAAGCTGAGTGTTTACTAAACACAAAAACAGCTCCCAACTTTTTTTTATAGCAGTTTTTTTCAGAATCACCTTAGTACCAAACCAGGTCTATATATTATGCAAATACTTATTTTGCATCTACGCACAATGCTTCAACACATTTAGTCCTTATCCCAACACTAATTGTACTTAAAATTCATTTGCCATTCCCATGGCAATGCGCGGGCTAAAAATGCTAGTAATTGACTAAAACAATAAATGGCGAGAGTATAGAATTTGTTTTCCCAGAAAATTGGGGGTAAAACTGGAAGAAGAGTGAGTCAAAGAAGGGTAATGAGAATGAAGAGAAGAACAGAAGCAATGAAGGGGATACTTTACACAGCAGCAACAAGGACCCTGTGTGTGTCACGCATGGTCTCTTTGATAAAAGTAAACACATTCGAAGGATAATATGCAGATTAGTTTTTGGTTGTACAAAAAGGTGAGAGAATGACGGTTTGGTCCTTTCACGGTTTCACTTGGGTACCGTTTGGTACGTGGGACGGGACGGAACAAAGTGGGACAAGGCGTTCCGTCCCACGTTGGTGCGCCTAAAACAGGTGGAACGAGCTGTTCCACGGAACAAGTTTTGGGTGAATTTTCGTTCCACCTCACCCCCTGGAACGACTCGTTCCACATCTGTGGAACACACAAATTATAACCTCTCCGTTTCCTTATTCTTCCTCCTTGTTTCCATCCGAGGGTATCTTTACTCCCGTTCCGTCATGTCCCGTCCCGTCCCGTCCCGTCCCATTCTGTTCCGTCCCGTCCCGTCTGCATACCAAACGATACCTTGGTGAACATATGGGTGGGCATGATTCGATTTCGTCCGGTTTTAACATAAAAAACAAAATTCAGACCAAAGAATTTGCATGGTTTGATTTGGTTTGGTCGATTTATGCATGGTACATGTCGCAACACTTGAACTAATCAATACCTATTTAAGAGAGAGAGAGAGAGAGAGAGAGAGAGCTCTATTTATGTAAGACCCATTTTGAACATAAATATTAACTGATTCCACAACAATTGTAAAATGTTTATTAAATTAAACCAAATATATATTCTAAAATATTCAAACTAAACATTCACTAGTTGAAACACTTGTCAAAGAGAATTTGCAAATAAAAAGAAACAAAAGCAAAAATATGTTAAATTTTATAATACTTCAAGATGTTAATGCATTAAGATTAAAATCGGTCCTACAATTTTATTGTATCTAAAATTAAACTCAGGCTTTTGATGTCGTTTTTTCCTTGCTAAAAGATTCGGACATTCACTTTGTAGTAGTGGCATGTCGTTCATTAGAGCTGCTTTTCTTTTCATTGGCTGATGAGGAGCCCGTTTCCTTGTTTTCTGTTTTACTACTCTTTGCTTTTTCACTGCTTCTTCCCTTAGGTCCATTGTCAAATGTATACAAGGACACAATTTCAGGAATTTGCCCTGGAATGTTGTAATTCGATTTCGACGCCATTGTTCTAGCAAAAATTTCCACTCCTTGGAATTACAATTGTAATCGACAAACTAATTGCGAAATCCTTAAAGGCGAAAAGACAATGATGTGGTACTGGCTAAAAACCCTCCGATAGTCAAGGTAAACTCGTACAATTGAATTCGACTTAGAGCTCAAAGTATTGCGTGCCTTGTATTGTTCATGAAGGAGGTATTTATACTAGTAAGATGGACTCCTGACTCCTTGTTTAAGTAGGAGTATGTAAACTTACTCGTTTGCCCACTATCAACGAGGACATTGAGGAGAAGGAAACAAGATAGATTATTTCCCTTCTTTTTTCATCTGGTTCCATTGATATCTTCCCTCTAGCAGACAGATTCTCTAGCATAGATATAAAATTAAAATAAATTTCAAATTTACAATTAAGTTTACAAAAGTTGAAATATCGCAAGGTAAATTGTAAGTTAACTGCTTACTTACCAAGAATAAGAGTTAGAACTATTGTGATTCTTTACTGATTTTCGTTAATTAAAACATCGGTATTGAAACTTTTCTTGTTTAGCACATATGGAAACGTAAAAAGTGTGAGTTCCCATTCCTTTTTTCTTCCTAAAACTTGATTCACGACTTCTCCTATTCCAAGTAAGTAAACATGTCTAATCCTCCTTCTGATTCTCACCTGTATTAAAATAAAAATAAAAAACTGGAAGCATGTTCTTTTCTCCAACTTCTCTCTGTTTTTCTTTTTGTGCTAACAATTGCTTTACCTTGTGTGTAAAGGAAGCACGACAGGATACCTGTGCAGTCTAAATGCCAGTCTATGTATGTGTGACCCGACCCGTTAAGTATCCACCCGAATACTAATTTAACGGATTGGTGGGGTTGGGTTAACATGTTGGGTCTAAAATGCCAGGTCTATTATTATGTGTGATAATATATGACAGGATCACACATGGTAGGACACAGTGGAAATCATGTTATAAAACAATTGTATAATTTATTTATTTTTAATAGAATTTTTAATCCATAAAATAAGAAGAATAATATTCCTTGGGCAGTAGCTAGCTGGGAAAGGATCCTTGCCGGATCTTTTCCTAGGGATCATAGGGATCACGTGATCTTATCCGTTCATCGTATATCGTGCGTTCAGAAATCATTTCAGAATTTAAAATTTAAAATTAAATATGAATAGTATCTAACGAAAACTGACCGTACGATTTACGATGAACGGATGAGATCACGGGATCCCTAGGAAAGGGATCCGGCAAGGATCCTTTTCCGTAGCTAGCTAATTACAACATGAAAAGAAGGGGCATAAATAATCTGCTAGCTAGTACAAATTTACGGAGACTATGGAAAGTGTAGTCTAAAACCAGAGCTGTGAATAAGGATCATAGATTAGAAGAGAAGAGATTCAAATTAAAGTTGCAACCCAACATTCCATTTATTGGTGAGAGATACTGCTATCAAATTCGATAACTGATATCGCTGGTCCACGGCCTGTTATGGAATTAAGAGATTCTGTTCAGATACGCATGAAATCTAATGATATTGTTGGAGCAAATCAACTTCTCAATCCATGGAATATAACAGCCAATGCAAACATATAGCCAAATCAAACTTCATTGTTATGATTAATCTGAACGTGTACGAAAAATCGATGAAGTAATGTTGCAAACTAAAATAAAATAAAAGATAGTAGAAGATGCAAAGGACTGGTTGGTGGTGCATGCTTACTCAAAGTTGAGGACACAAAGCAGAAAACCATTCTGTGAGTTTATTATAAGGTTATGCATTTCCTCAACAACAGTCCTGTGCAAGGTAGTGATGAAAAACAAAGCTGAGGAACGGTAGACCTAAACCTCGAATCGTAAAGAGTGAAACATTAGTATTTATATAATGATAGTTGATCTCGAGGTGCTTTGCTCTTGCGTGAAAAATAGGATTGGCACCAAGAGCAAGAGCACTTAGATTGTCAAATAAGAGCAGCGGTGGATTATGGAGATAGAAGTGAAGGTCATTGAGGAGGTAGCAAATCCATGATACTTCAGCAGCTGTTTGGGCTAGAAAATGGTATTCACTTTCGGTTGAAGACCGAGCAACAATTGGTTGCTTCTTCAAAACTCCATGAAATAAGATTGTTTCCAAAGAATATGCAAAACCCAAATGTAGAAAGACTATCAATGGGACAACCAGCCTAGTTGGCATTCGAAAAAGCAGTGATATTTGGAGAGCCTTTGGTGAGAAGAAGTCCATGATCTGGAGTCCCCTTAAGATAACGGAGATCCGCTTGAGGGCTGTGAAATGAGTTGTTCTGGGATTTGAAGATGTTGACAAACTTGATTAATGAAAAAGGTGATGTCAGGCCTTGTCCATGTAAGGTGTTGCAAAACACCATCCAATGATGTACATGATAGGGCCTTGAAGGAGCAAGTTTAGAAGCAGATGAAGGCGATGCACATGGTTTGGAATCTAACATGTTGGCTTTTGTTAGGAGGTCCTGGACATACTTGGCTTGAACCAAGAAGAGCGTGTCCGCTGTTCGATGAGTTTGAATACGAAGAAAAAAGTGCAACGGATCAAGATTCTTCATAGCAAACTGAGTATTGAGCTTGTTGATAAAAAAATTCACAATGAGAAGAAGAGTTACCTGTAATCAGAATACCATCAGCATAAACAAGTATAAAAGTAAGTGAGTGAGTGATCAACCTTGACAAAGAGTGAAGGAATTGCTATAGAGGAACGGAATCCGAGAGCTACAAGACTACGATAGAGCTCCTCGTACCAAGCTCGCGTCGCTTGTTTGAGACCATATATAGACTCGTGAAGCTTGCACACAAATGAGGTCTGAGAGGATCTATAATCTTTGAGGTTGAGCTACATACAAATCTTCATGAAGTGTACCATGAAGGAAGGCATTGGAGACATCCAATTGAGTAATCAACCAATTGAACTGGGGAGCTAGAGATAAAATGAGTCAGATAGTTGCTGATTTAGCGATCAGACTGAATGTTTCATGGTAGTCAATACCATGTTGTTGAAGAAACCCTTTACCAACAAGTCGTGCTTTATATCGATCCAAACTGCCAGTATTGAACTTGATACATCCATTTAGATCCAGTAATGTTGTGAGAATGAGGTGGCAGAACAAGTGTCCAGGTGTGTGTATTCTTTCTCCAATGACTAATCAAGGAATTTTACTAGAAATAGTTTCAATAACTAGGAGCGTACGAGAAATTAAACGTAACAGAAAATTCCAAAAAATTGCGAGAGTCTTCTTCTAGTATTTGAATCAAGCTCTCAATGAAACCAACAATTTGTGGTAGTGAAAATCCGCCGTCTTCAGTCTTGACGAATTTGTATCGACAAAACAATCAACACTTTTGATCAAAGACCAAAACCTCACGCTTCACGAGGTTGGGGGGTTTGGCTAGTAGATCTCCGATGCCTAAGTCAGTTTCTCTAAAAATAGTAAGTGTTTAGGACTTGTATGCTTAACAAAAAGCTTACTAAAATTTTTATCTAAAAGTTGAAGATGGTCTAACAGTAGTGTTTTTATTTTTTTTTTCATTTTTTTTGTTTTTTTTTGTTTTTGTTTTTGTTTTTTTGTTTTACCAAAAATAAAGCTATTCTTCCCGACTGATGCCTAAGAAACCTCATCGAATCTCGTGATTTCACGAACGAACCAGGATCCTCGCCGGATCCATTCCCTAGGGATCTTAGGGATCACGCAATCGTGTCTGTTCATCATATATCATGCGGTCAGAAATCATTTAAAATTTAAAATTTAAAATTCAAATATAAATAGTAGCTAACGAAAACTGACCGCCCGATATACGATAAACGGACAGGATTGCGTGATCCCTAGGATCCCTAGGGAATGCATCCGGCGAGGATCCTGGTTGAAGAACTACCAGCTTCTCGAAATTTCACAAACCCCTACCATTTCCGCTGACTTCTCTAAGCTAAATCAAGCGTGCTGCTTCATCCAAGAACACGAAGTTGCTGACTTTTGTAATCGGAATCACCGACGATTCCTGTGATGTCTGGCCTCGATGTTGGTCTCAAATGACTCATCATCATCCGAGATACCTTCTAGGCCCATTGCATGTGAAGATCTTATTCAAATTTGTGATTTAATACGATTGAATTTTAGTAAAATTTTCATGATTTTGTAAAAAAAAAAAATCGTTTAAATTTCTGAGCTTTGGAGGGTTCTTCATTAAACTTATGGAGCTTTTTGGCGTTTTTATTTGAGATTTAGTATTTTTCTTTCTAGATTTTGTAGAATACTTGGATTAAATTTGGGAGTTTGGTAGTGGTGTTTTTTCTGTGCATTTTTGGTGAACTTGGTTGTAGGTTTTGATGTTTGTCTGCAGCAGGGAAAGGGACGAAAATCATTCCACGCCCTCCAACAGTTCCAGACTCTGATTGTGCACCGCCAACTCGCGAACCAAGTGCTATTTCAGCACCTGCAGGAGATGAACGAAGCGAGATGGTATAGTTTTCTGTAATTTTTACTATTGCTGTGTGTAAATGACCACATCGAAATGTCTTTGATCTCCTTACAAATTCAGTTTCCTGACTTATTTTCCTTTTTTCAATTTGAATGCAACTTTGTCCAATCGTATTTTCTTATATGGTTAGCTTCAGAAACCACTACTCCACAATTCTAGAAAGTTAAAATTGCCATCTGCATCGAATATATGTAATTTAGTTGTGATGCGGAAGCTTGAGAGGTCATCTAGAAATGCAGCACTATCTAATTTAGTTGATTCAATCAAAGCATAAAAGCAAACAACTCACATACAGAAATTGTATCAAGCAACCGGTTATTTAATCAAAAGTTAACACAGCAAAATGTTAACCCAAAACCCTCTCTTATATGGCTACATTGATGTCAACAAGCTTTTAGTTTGTTAGTCTTCACCGGTTCGGTGGCATCTCTGTAATGGTCTTCCTTATGAACCCGGTCTTCTCTCCAGAGGGTCTGCTAAGTTCCGAATATTTCTACCTCTATTTATATATATACATGTATGGATAGTTGCTTCGATGTTCACTTGGTGTACATATTTTACACACAAAGCACTTTTGAAAGTTTACTGTTATTGATGTGAGTTAGTTTGTTGTTTTTAACCATTAATCGAATTTGTGGACCCTAATTTCTACGAGAGTATCTCATTATCATGGAAAAAAAAAAATACAATAAATCATAAAATTAAAGAGGAGGGCTTAATCATGACTATATTTGATAATTAATTCATAACTCTTTAATTTACATGAACAACCTTTACATTTCTGCTAAATATTAATTGGTGTTGGACGTCTTATTACACATAACACGCGATATTCTTTTTGTTTGCTAAAAAGAAAGTGATTCATTATGTATGCATGGTGTGTGTGAGTTACTATACCTGCTGCTTGATGTGGAATTTTGCTTTTTTTTTTTTATATTTTTTTTAGCAATAACACATACGATCTTGGATTCTATTTCAATGAAAGCAGATCAAGTTTCAGAGTGAAAATTTTCATTGATTTTGTAGTTTTATTAGTGTGAATTATCCAGCACACACACCATGATGTCTTTGCTAATGAGTAGTCTACAGGGTCCTTTGGTCCGAAAGAGTTTCAGCAGCTAGGCAGTTGCAACACACGTTAAGTACTTCCATGTGCCTCCTTATGCTGGGATTTTGTTAGACAGGTATGTATTTTATCTTCATATACTTCATAGTTTTATTTAGTTTTGATATATAATCAACTAGAAACGCATTCAGTTGAGTGAATTCTGCATTGTGACATACATGACATTGGAGTATTGCTCTGTTTGTGATTAAGGATGGTTATGTTTTCTCATATTTACATTAATACTGTGAAATGTTGAGTAAAAATCAATTTAGGGGAACTATATACTGCTAGAGATGTGCATATTAATCCCGCCTAATGTAAAATTTAGAAATCTGGCATAGTGAAGATCCAATAGAGAATATGAGAAACCCAACTTAATTTTATGAATTTGTTTTGGTGCCTACAAATGAAATCTGGCATAGTGAAAGTTTGTGTACCGAAATTATGACAAATTTTCCTTCATCTTTAGATTTTCATTCAATTCAATTCATATGCAATTTAGTGTGATTCAATTCGTAAGTGATCAAATGCTGTTTTTAATTTCCTTCTTCTTTTGATTTTCAGTTCAACATTGTCGTACAAAACGAAGGAGACGTCATTAACGGAGTTACAGATTTGGGTGTCTTTAGTGAAACAAAACCGGATTGTTTTAACTTTGTATAGTTGTAAACATAAAACAATCTCTGGGATAGAGCCATAGCTTTTGAAAGACAATCCTTAAGGATGGCATACCAACATTCCCAATTTTTTCCATGTAACATATGAACGTAAATAGCACTTCCATAACACATGGATGTAATATATGTATATAAATACCACTCTGTGGCACATATATTTTTCAAGACATCTACATATTCAGTAATGTTTTCAAACTCCACAGCAACGCACAGGTACTCATTTTATGCAAATCTGTTGTATCAACTTCATTGCTCAAATTAAGAATAAGTTCTCAAATTAAGAATAAGTTGAGAACGTGGCTTTTAAGAAACGAAAATGATAAAACACATACTATGTTTTTTTCCTCTTATACACCTATCTTTAATCATGTTCATTGTTTTTATTGATTTATTCAACTCATTGTTTAGAAATAAAGAAGGATGTGTGATAGGCTAATTAAAAAAGGTCTGTGAAGTTCAGTTTCCTTCAGAAACCAAGAGAAATGTAAGAAAGCGAGACACTTTACAGTTTCATCACGTGCTCTATTAAAAAAGGAACGAAAAAAATGGCATTTTAACCAAAATGATTTTGAGATTTGAATGACGTATCATTTTAGTTTTGAGATTTAAAATCACTATAAATAGTTTATGAGATTGTCTACCATTTATTATTTTGGTTTAAAAAACTTTGTTAAGTTGTGAGTATTTTTATCAAATCAAATTCTCCACTTGCTTTTTCACCTTTTCTCTCATTTTCCTAAAAAAAAAAAAGAAAAATACTCATATGTTGTTGATTTTGGCAGTGAAATCAAATCTTCATCCATTATTAAAAACAATTTGGCGCCAAATTCAAGTAAATCATCACAAACGGTCCTGACTTTTTCCCTTCCGTTAATTTTTGGAAGGAAACTGTACATTTTGCACTTTTGAATATAAATGAAATGGATGGTTCAAAGTATGATATATATACAGACAAGGCTAAATCAATAGAATTACCAAAAAGAGATACCATGTTCCATTACATGAGATTTTCAACATGATCAGCATTATAACTTGCAAAATATTCAAATGTTCAACATCAAAAAACAATATCCACATGTTTAAAAACAAGATCAAACTCTAAATGTTCAACTACAAAATCAATGTTCAACTGTTCTAATTCACAAAAAACAAGAAAAGAGATGGTTGTAGCTTGTTTTCTTCCATTTGTGCAGTGACATCCAAACTACAAACTCCCTCCATACTCAAGGCTTCCAAGACTTGTCTCTCTTTGCGGGTGATTTGTATCTTTTGCTAGTAGACTGTGATTGTGGTGGCACTACTTGGGAAGTGACACTAATGCAACCTTGTACCTATTAAAAACCAAATGATAGCAGCGTACGCTTAGCCACCCAATAAAATCCAAATCATACTCCTTTTATCACAATTTACACAATTATTGTTGAAAAAAAAAGTAAAGAATAAACAATACAAAAACTAAAGGACTATTGATTGTACCATTTAAACTTGTAGAGTGGGCTGTGAGCTAGATACTACTATTCTCATGCCTCTCCCTCTTCCCATTCCCCTGCCCTTTCCCACCTACATTATCAACCAATTTAATGAACTTCACTTTCATTATAAAAAACTACAATTGAAAAACAAAAATACAATATAAAAGAGATTATACCTCTCGTATAGATGTGTTAACAACCGAATGATTTGGCTCTTGAGTGGCTTGAGTTGCTATTTTTAAAATGACCTCAATGCCCACGGTCAATCTCCATGTTCAACAATGTGTTGTGAGGAAGTTCTCCTCAAGTCACCTATGAAATCAATAGAACCGTGACATCATTTGTCAAAATAGTGTCACGTTCACAAAGTAAAAAGGAAAAGGACTTCACAAGATGTTAAGAGAGGTGCAGAAAGTATGTGGAGTGATGTTTTTGTTTCCTCCAAACTCGTTGAGCAATTGGTAGGAAGGGTTGTAAGATTGTTTGATGAAGTAGCGCTCGATCCATCATGATGACGTGCATCATTTTTCACAACATGAGTGTAGAAGATAATTGACTATTTATTTCATAAAAGTTTACGTAAAAGTCTAGAAAAACGCTAACAATTACTGTCTTATTTGTTAAAGAAAAATAGAATATGTTATAAATAATTATTTAATTGGTTGGATATTCAGGAGTCAAAAACTCATTAATTTATGAATGCATTATGAATTATTTGATTTATTAGATCTTGAATTTTAATGAACATTTTTTCATTTTCAACAATTCATGAAAGAATAAATTAAGAAAATACTTATGAATATATTGACTACAAGAAAGACCTCATGATAGTCAATATGGGAACCCACCACCCATGAATGATGGTGTTCTTGGCAAAAAAATCAAATAATTGTACAATATTTACCTTATGTAACACGATCACTTTGTTTGCAATTGTGCGACTGACTAGTAGAGTCATGAGTTGGTGTTGACTAACTAGTAGAGTCATGAGTGTCATGAGTTGGTGTTGACTGACTAGTAGAGTCTCATTTTCACAAGTTCTTTTTGTGTGGCTTTCATGTCCATATTAATAACATGCATACGATCTGTGCGGAAAGTCTGTGTGAAACCCATTTTGCTAGCTACTTTCCACCCTGAGTTGTCAGTACTGGTGGCTCTACCTAGGTTCCTTTGTCCCATTTTTTGTTTTACGGCAGTTATGATAAATGATAATAATATTTAAGGCTGTCCACCTAGGGAGGAGGATTATCTTCTTTTCTAATTTCTTTCTCATTTTCTTCCCTCGTATATGAACATTACCGTTACATCACGTTAATATTTTATAATTTTTTTTAATATAAATAATAAGATAAAAAGTAAGCATGTCAGAAAAGGAGAAAGAAGAGAATATGAATGAGAAGAGAAAGAATCCCACTCCGTACATTCTGGCGGCCAACTATGGAGACCTTTCACACCATGTTTTAGGTGTCAGCTAACTATAGAGGTCATTCACACACTAAGTTCCAGGACAGCCAACTATGGAGGATCTTCACTCCATGTTCCAAGTGTCAGCCATGTATGGAGGCGCGCCACCCCATGCTCCAAGTGTCAGCAATCTATGGAGGCCCTTCACTCCATAATTTCAGGTTTTAACCAGCTTTGGTGCTTCCAGTCTGGCAGAATTACGTATCAACCATTTGTACTGTCTGTAGCGACGTTAAAAGCTACCATGGGCTAAATGTTGAAGGAAAAGAAATCACCCGATCTGATTGAGGGTGATTGTAGCTTCTGAAATTATCAATTTTTGGGATCAAGTAATTGTGGGATGTAAATATAATTAGCTTTAATATAGGTTCTATTTACTTAGAATAGCACATAGGTTTTGTATAAGATCTTACCTTGTGGGAAAGGAATCATTTTTGAATTTCTTCTTTCTAATCCACCAAATCAGAAGACTCGTACTGTTGAAATTTGATCAAACAACTACAAATAAGGGTCTACTTTAAAAGTTATAATAACTTCAGCTGTTAAATCAATTTTCAACAACATGAATTCCTTAATTTAATGGATTACAAGGAAGGGATCCAAAGAGGATCCCTTTCCTATCATTTGTACCAATATTCAAATTAATGCAAAATACAAATTAACTTTTGGTGAAAAAAGAAAATTTTACATATATTTTTCATTAATTTTTTAATGTAGTGTACTATATACTTAGCCACTAAGTCTAATTATCTTAGCTTAATTATATAAGATTATATCTTGCAATGTAATTCTTATTAGCACTTTAAAAATCTTATTTTGAACTCTAAATTTTCTATAATTAGAAAGAAAATACATATGTGAGGAGTGTAGAATGAGATTTTTGAGTGCTAATAACAATTCTCATCTTACAATTCATAAGCCATCTCTTTTTCTTACACTCTTTTTCTAATCGCTTCTCAGACATATTTGTTTCAAGTTTGGCGTCGTTTAAATTTTAATACGTATTTTTTTGGTAAACAAATGGGGCTAACACCTAACAAAGAGAAACTAAAGCAAAACATCACAAGGTATAGAGATTTTAGCAACATCTGACATCAAGAGATAACAAGAGGCAGGAGCTTGAGCGAAATAAACTGAACCAAGAGAATTCAAGTTAGCTAATTCCTCAACCACAAAATGCATCTCATCATAAATATGACCAAGTTCACAATTCCAATCTTTGTTTAACAGCTCACGGCATGCCTCCAATTCACCAAGAGGATGGTACTCACTCGCACCTTGAAGAACTATATGGCCAATGAGAACAAAATTTGATTCCAATTTTACATGTATTTGTTTAATAATGAAAAATTTTGGCTCACCATATGAAAATTTTCTTAGGTTAGCTGATAATGTGAAAAAAATATTTTATGTTTCTTCATTTATAAAAATTTAAATCTTTAAGCTACCACACTAGGTAAAGGCTCCGTCCTTGTTCACCATCACGTGACATTTCTTGTCCAATACTGCATTGTTATGCGTAATGTATTATTAAATATGAATGCCACGTAATAATGACCGGTTATTAAAAAAATATAAAAAAATTTATAAAAAAGAATTGTGATGACCGTGCCGCATACGCTTAGGCAAGTGGTTCTATTATTTGCTTTAAACTAGCTATCAAATTCGAGTCTACTAGAAATTGAGTTATTTATTTGAATAAAACTGATTTATTTTGTATTTATTTTTTGTTGAAGTAGGATTTTCTTTCATCTTTTTTTCTCTTCCTCTCACTCTCCTTCTATGTGAACGGTCACGGTTAAGCCACGTCAACATCTTATATTAATTTTTTATAGCAAGAAAAAGACAAAATAAAAGAATATAAGAGGAGGGGATGAAAGGGGATGGAAAGAAGAGGGGAGTGAGTCCTAATCTTTTTTTTGTTGACATGCATACTGTAAGAGGTCATTTTGATGGGAAACTTGGATGGGATAGTGATGGTAGCACCTCTTTCGGGTCAATGGTAGAGTCCACTTCACTTGGACTTCTTGAATCGTTCAACTAATAAAACACGTTGAAGCGAAAGCTCATGGAAAGTTAGGGAAGTCCTACTTTGAAGAAAATTCTTTGGTTTCCTTCTTTTCTTTTTTTAAATAATAAAAACTATTATTAGCATTTTAAAATTTTAATTATACACTTTTCATAACAGGATTATTTCTTTTTATAAGCCAATATTATTGTTACTCTAATTCAACAATAGCTTCTAACTCAATGTTTAGATGTCTTGAAGGCGGAGTTGTAATAGCTTCTAACTGAATGATAGGCATATAATCATCACTTCTCTTGGCATTGAGCAAAAGAAACATTCGGGACAAATATTGGGATGATATATGGACTGTCTGATTTTAGCACCAATAATTTGAAACATATTCGTATGTTTCTACTACACTCGAGTGACAAACGTTATAAAAGATATAACTAGATGAAACAAAAGATTTTCATGGAGTCCAATAATGCCATAGACACAAAAAGATATAACTAAATGAAACGATAAATTTGCTTATGGCCAGGTTCAATAGAGGAGAAGAACTTATATGGAACGAGTTCACTGCCATTTGCAAAGCCACGTATAGAGTACCATGGCTTAAAGCCTAGGTAGCTTTTAATAAAAAAATAAGAAAAAAATTTGCATGTAATTTTCATTAATTTTCAAATGTAGCGCACAATATATACTTGGCCACTAAGCCTAATTATTTAGTTTAATTATATATAAGATTATATATTACAATTCATTAACCATCTCTATTTCTTACACCCTTTTTCTCATCGCTTCGTGTACATATTTGCATCAAGTTTGGCCTTGTTTAAATTTCAGCAAGTATTTGTTTTTTGGTAAGCAAACGAGGTTAAACACCCATAAGAGAAAACTAAAGCAAACCATCACAAAGTCTAGATATTCCAGCAGTGTCCGACCCTAAGATATGTCGACAAGAGGCAGGAGCTTGTTCGAATAAACTGGACCAAGAAAATACGACAAACTCAAGTTAATTAGTTTGTTCATCAACCACAAAATTCAATTCATGATAAACATGATAGAGTTCACAATTTCAATCTCTCTCTAACAGCTCATGACAAGCCTTTACTAATTCACCAAGAGGATGGTTTTCACTCGCACCTTGCAGAATCACATGAACAAGGAGAGCAGAATCAAATTACAATTTTAGCATGTATTTGTTTAATAATGGAAAATTTCTAGCATGCCCTGTGAAAACTTTCTTAGGCTGAAAAGTATTGTATATTTCTTCGTTTATAAAAATTTAAATCTTTAAGTTAGTTCATCCGGTGAAAATTTAAATATTTATGTTTACATTTATGGTCAATTAGGCTGTTTGCTTCTTGTGTAGGAGAAGTTTAACAGGGATAGTACGTGCCACTTTCACATGAGGATGTATCACTACAGCACGTAACCCTTTCACATGATAATGACCGGTTATTAAAAAAAATAAAAAAAGTGCTGACCATGCCGCAAACGCTTGGGCAAGTGGTTCTATTATTTGCCTCGAACTAGCCATCAAATTCGAGTCTACTAGAAATTGAGTTATTTATTTGAATAAATTGACTTATTTACTTGAACATTTTTTCATTCTCAACAATTCATGAAAGAATAAATTGAGAAAAAACTTATGAATATATTGACTACAAGAAAGACCTCACGATAATCAATATGGAACCCCACCACCAATCAATGATGGTGTTCTTGGACAAATCATTACTCTAGATGGCGAAGATGTAATTGAATATGAACTGATATTGGATTATTTCCAACGAAAAATATAAAAAAATTGCAAAAAACTTGAATAATTGTACAATATTTACCTTATGTAACACGGTCACTTTGTTTTCAATTGTGCGACTTGGCTCATGAGTGTCATGAGTTGGTGTTGACTGATTAATAGAGTCTCATTTTCACAAGTTCTTTTTGTGTGGCTTTCATGTCCATATTAATAACATGCATACGGTCTGTGCGAAAAGTCTGTGCGAAACCCATTTTTCTAGCTACTTTCAACCCTGAGTTGTCAATACTGGTGGCTCTTCCTAGGTTCCTTTGTCCTATTTTTTCTTTTACGGCTGTCATGATAAATGATAATAATATTTAAGGCTGTCCACCGTACATAAACATTACCGTTAAATCACGTTAATATTTTATATTTTTTTAATAAAAATAATAAGATAAAAAGTAAGCGTATAAGAAAAGAAGAACGAAGAGAATATGAATGAGAAGAGAGAGAATCCCACTTCGTATGTTCTGGCGGCCAACTATGGAGACCTTTCACACCATGTTTTAGGTGTCAGCTAACTATGGAGATCATTCACACCCTAAGTTCCAGGACAACCAGCTATGGAGGACCTTCACTTCATGTTCCAAGTGTTAGCCATGTATGGAGGCGCACCACCCCATGCTCCAAGTGTCAGCAATCTATGGAGGCCCTTCACTTCATAATTTCAGGTTTTAACCAGCTTTGGTGCTTCCAGTCTGGCAGAATTATGTATCAACCATTTGTACTGTCTATAGCCACATTAAAAGGTACCACAGGCTAAATGTTGAAGGAAAAGAAATCACACGATTTGATTGAGAGTGATTGTAGCTTCTGAAATTATCAATTTTTGGGATAAAGTGATTGTGAGATGTAAATGTAATTAGCTTTATTATAGGTTCTATTTAGTTAGAATAGCACATAGGTTTTGTATAAGATCTTACCTTGTGGGAAAGGAATCATTTTCGAATCCCTTCTTTTTAATCCACCAAATCAGAAGACTCGTACTGTTGAAATTTGATCAAACGACTACAAATAAGGGTCTATTTTAAAAGTTATAATAACTTCGGCCGTTAAATCAATTTTCAACGATATGAATTCCTTAATTTAGTGGATTACAAGGAAGGGATCCAGAGATGATCCCTTTCCTATCATTTGTACCAATATTCAAATTAATGCAATATACAAATTAACTTTTGGTGAAAAAAGAAAATTTTACATATATTTTTCATTAATTTTTTAATGTAGTGTACTATATACTTAGCCACTAAGTCTAATTATCTTAGTTTAATTATATAAGATTATATCTTACCATGTAATTCTTATTAGCAAAATCTTATTTTGAACTCTAAACTTTCTATAATTAGAAAGAAAATACATATGTGGGGAGTGTAGAATGAGATTTTTGAGTGCTAATAACAATTCTCATCTTACAATTCATAAGCCATCTCTTTTTCTTACACTCTTTTTCTAATCACTTCTCGGACATATTTGTTTCAAGTTTGGCGTCGTTTAAATTTTAATACGTATTTTTCTTGGTAAACAAATGGGGCTAGCACCTAACAAAGAGAAACTAAAGCAAAACATCACAAGGTATAAAGATTTTAGCAACATCTGACACCAAGAGATGGCAAGAGGTAGGAGTTTGAGCGAAATAAACTAGACCAAGAGAATTCAAGTTAGCTAATTCCTCAACCACAAAATGCATCTCATCGTAAATATGACCAAGTTCACAATTCCAATCTTTGTTTAACAGCTCACGGCAAGCCTCCAATTCACCAAGAGGATAGTTCTCACTCACACCTTGGAGAACTATATGGCCAATGAGAACAAAATTAGATTCCAATTTACATGTATTTGTTTAATAATGAAATTTTTTGGCTCACTATGTGGAAATTTTCTTAGGTTAGCTGATAATGTGAAAAAAATATTGTATGTTTCTTCATTTATAAAAATTTAAATCCTTAAGCTACCACACTCGGTAAAGGCTTCGTCCTTGTTCACCATCACGTGACATTTCTTGTCCAATACTGCATTATTATGTGTAAAGCATTCTTCATATGATAATGTATTATTAAATATGAATGTCGCGTGATAATGACAGGTTATTAAAAAAAAATTTAAAAATTAAAAAAAAAAAAAAAGTGCTGACCGTGCCGCATACGCTTAGGCAAGTGGTTCTATTATTTGCCTTGAACCAGCCATCAAATTCGAGTCTACTAGAAATTGAGTTATTTATTTGAATAAAAAGAAGAGGGGTTTATTTTGTATTTATATTTTGTTGGAGTAGGATTCCTTTTTTTTTTTTTCTCTCTCTCTCTTTCCCTCTCTTCCTATTTGAACGGTCACATTAATATCTTATATTAATTTTTTATAACAAAAAAAAGACAAAATAAAAAAATGTGAGAGGATGAGATAAAAAGGGATGGGAAGAGAATCCTAGTCTTTTTTATTGACATGCATACTGTAAGGGGTCATTTTGATGGGAAACTTGGATGGGATAGTGATGGTAGCACTTCTTGCAGGTCAATGGTAGAGTCCACTTCACTTGGACTTCTTGAATCGTTCAACTAATAATGAACACGTTGAAGCGAAAGCTCATGGAAAGTTAAGGAAGTCCTATTTTGAAGAAAATTCTTTTTTCTTTTTTTTTTTTTAATAAAAAACTATTATTAGCACTTTAAATTTTTAATTGTACACTTTTCATAACAGGATTATTTCTTTTTATAAGAAACTATCATTGTTACTCTAATTCAGCAATAGCTTCTAACTCAATGTTTAGATTTCTTGCAGGCGGAGTTGTAATAGCTTCTAACTGAATGATAGGCATGTAATCATCACTTCTCTTGGCATTGAGCGAAAGAAACATTCGGGACAAACTAACTTGCGGAACCCCTACGACCGGTCTATAAAAAAACCTCTCTCACAACCTCACTCTCATGCTAATATCGAAGAGTGCAGAACGAAACACAATGGGATTCCGCCGGTGCTTGTTTGTTTCCAATATGTGTTATACACTTTCAAAAGTTGTGTTGCTTCATCTCGTGGTTGTTAGCTCATCAGTTTCCTCATTGCAGCAATCTTGTCATGACGAGGAGAGGTCTGCCTTGCTGCAATTCAAGGAAAGCTTCATCATTAACAGATCTGCCTCGTATTCTGATGATGCTTATCCAAAGATTTTGCAATGGAAACTAGCTGAGGGACGAAACGTCAGCTGCTGTGCATGGGATGGCATTGTGTGTGATGAGAGGACGGGTCATGTTATTGGCCTTGATCTTAGTAGCAGCTGTCTCCTGGGCTCTATCAACTCCAACAGCAGCCTTTTCCGGCTTGTTCATCTTCAAGTGCTGAACCTTGCTGACAACAACTTCAATTCCTCTCGAATTCCTACTAGCATTGGGAATTTCCCTGGGCTCATGCATCTTAATCTCTCTCGTTCTTCCTTTTCTGGCCAAATCCCTTCCCAAATTTCACAGCTGGCCAACTTGTCGTCCCTTGATTTGTCTTCCAACGAAGGTCTAACTGGTCATTTTCCTGAATTTAATACAAGCAGTCCTCTCACTTCACTGTATCTTAGCTCCACTAGCTTATTCGGAAATTTGCCTTCTTCAATCGAAAAGCTTGATTTATTAAACACGCTGGATTTGGCACGCTGCAATTTCTCGGGTTTGGTTCCATCTTCACTTGGTAATCTTAGGCAGCTCATACATTTAGACCTTTCAAGAAATAACTTTAAAGGTCCAATCCCTAGTTCATTGGCAAACCTCACCCAACTAAAGGAGCTCCATCTTGGAATGAATGATTTTAGTGGCTCCATTCCCTCTGCTCTCGGTAGTCTCAACAAGCTCGAAGTCCTGTCACTTTTCCATAATCATTTTAGCGGTTACATCCCGGCTTCACTAGGAAATCTCACCCACCTCACAGTACTTTATCTGTATTCGAATCAGTTAACCGGTTCAATTCCTTCTCTAGGAAATCTCACCCACCTCACATACCTTTATCTGTTTTTGAATCAGTTAACCGGTCCAATTCCTTCTCTAGGAAATCTCCCCCACCTCACATACCTTTATCTGTTTTCGAATCAGTTAACCGGTCCATTACCTAATTCCTTATCCTATCTCATCAATCTCGAGGTATTTGATGCATCTGATAATAATCTGACTGGTACAGTGAAAATTTTCACAGAAACAGAAAGTACGAATGCAAGCCTACTTCCAAAGTTAAAATCTGTAGGATTGAGTTCGTGCAACATAAGAGAGTTCCCAAGTTTCCTGCAGTATCAAGAAACATTGGTGTTCTTGGACCTTTCCTCCAACAATTTGCATGAAGTACCAAAATGGATGTTGAACACAAGCATAGAGACTTTGGCGGGGATGGACATTTCTGACAACTTCTTTTCAAGCATTGTCCAGCCTTCAGATGCCTTTCCTTGGGTTAACCTACAAGTTTTAGTGCTCAAGAATAACAATCTAAATGGAGCAATTTCACCGTTGATCTGCAGTCTGACTTCTCTTCAGTTCCTTGACCTCTCCAACAACAATATGAGTGGAATGCTTCCCCCCTGTCTCGGAAACTTCAGCGATGATCTGCTAGGTTTATATCTTGGAAACAACTCTTTCAGCGGCTTTCTTCCTGAAATATATACCAACACAAGCAGTCTGAGGGTGATTGATGTTAGTCATAACCAATTGCGAGGGCAACTACCAAGGTCGTTGGGGAACTACACGACACTTGAGTTTATTGATCTGTCATACAATAAATTCAGCGATATTTTTCCCTTTTGGTTGGGAGCTCTTCCGGAGTTAAAAGTTTTGAAAATGCACCAGAACGCGTTCTACGGTCTGATGAAGGAACCTCATCAGGACAATGTTGAATATTTCCCTGAGTTACGAATTCTGGATCTATCTTTTAATAGTTTCAGAGGCAAATTTCCATCTCAAAAGATCTTTTCCGGGAATGTCATGAGGGGTGTCACTCGAAACCAGTCAACATATATGAAGGTAGACACAACTGACGATGCTAATATATTATTTGAGGAATATTACTCAATCACGATAACTAGCAAAGGTGTGGAGAGATATTATCCGAAGATTCTAGAAGCCCTTGTAGCGATTGACATCTCAAGCAACAAATTTGAAGGGAGGATTCCTGAATTTATTGGGAACCTAAAGGGGCTGATGTCATTCAATATATCTGGTAACTTCCTAACTGGTCCCATCCCATCATCTTTCGGGAATTTAACGTGGCTTGAATCACTGGACCTTTCACAAAACAAGCTTTCAGGACAAATCCCTCAAAGCCTCGCGCAGCTTACATTCCTTGAAACATTCATTGTCTCTAACAACAGCTTGACAGGTCCAATACCGCATGGAACCCAACTTATTTCAATGGGTAGCAGTTCATACGAAGGAAACCCTGGATTGTGTGGAGATCCTTTGCCAAAGAAATGCGAAGATCCTAAGGCTCCTCGCCTGTCGCCTTCAAAAACCGAAGAAAATGACTCGAGCTCGTTTGAATTTGATTGGAAATTTGTTTTGGCTGGTCTCGGAAGTGGGTTGGTGGTGGGAGTTGTTCTTTCTGATGTGGTGATCACAAGGAAGCGTGAATGGTTTGTTGAGATTGTTAAAACCATCAAGCTGATGATAGGAAATTCATAAGTCCGCTATAAGGTTACGCATTTGGTGTTGTTTTTTGCTTGTTTTATATTATTTCTTTGTACTCCTTTTTAATGTCATGTCTTCCTTTTGTAATATGATATATTAGTTCCACAAAAGGTACAAGCCCAGCAGATACCGCTACCGGGCAGAATCGTTTGCTATGGAATAATAGAACAAGAATTCATAATTCTATCGAACGTAAACCCAAATTTAACAACAGATAGATATTAGAAACAGTTTTAACTGCCAAAGATGCTAGTCAAGCAAAAACACAGCAACACACATGAAATATCTGAGTTATCTAATATATATTAGATGCAATCCAAGGTTCAAACAATCATACATGAAGTTCGTTCACATAACAATAAATAAGGGTCCATAAAAACAAAATTCACACACAAGATTGTGCCCAAAAACCCCTATTTAACTGGCTAAAAAACCGGAAGAATTTCCAGGAGCAAGTTCATACAGAGTCATACGCATACGCTGGCTCAAATCCTAAATCTTTGTCTAAAGGAGCAACTCGTAGTTTTGCTCAACTTTGAAATTCTTCAAGCCTAGGAAATGAGTAGCAATAGTGCTCGCGCAATGCTGCGGATTTTAAAATTGTATAAAACATGCAGAAAATTCTAAATACACACAATATGCAATACTATTTATATACATACAGAAATCTATTTACAACGATATGGATTGGCAGTTCTATTGCCATCGTTCTAATATTCACATCTTTTATAAATTTACATACAAAAGATAATATTTGATGTGTATTTACATACTATTTACACACAAAAGATTGGGTAGATAGTCCCTATTGATATCCTCATGAAATAGGCAGATAATCAGCTTATTTTACCCAATCATAACCAAACTCTGGTTGCAACTGACTTTAAGTTGTTAATGGAACAAAGCACCTGAAGTCGAAGATAAACCTGGTGAATGTAGAAATCTTCAAGCCCTAAACAAATTGGCCTTGCTTTTTGCAACAAAACAATCCTTGTATGACAGAAAATTACAGGAAAAACTTTTAGAAGTGGAAATAAAATTAAGTCAAATGATTAGGGAACCAGAAGTTTACTGGACCATACACAGAAATAAAATTTAAATTAAAAAAAAAAATTCTCAAATACACAGAGCATGACAATTTTAAACATACAAAAGCGAAACAAAATCATCAGAGCAAATAATGACATGAAATTAAAAACTCATTAACAATTTATTAAGCATATATAGGTACACCCAACAGATAATCTTATTTAATCACACCATTTTAATTTATCAAACTGATTATTTAATACTATCATTGACATCCCACATCGTCCAAGGGAGTGATCCTTATATGTATATTCCTATCCCTACCTAACACGAGACCTTTTGGGAGCTCACTGACTTCGGATTCCGTAGGAACTCCAAAGTTAAGCGAGAAGGAGGCTAGAGCAATCCCATGATGGGTGACCCACTGGGAAGTTGCTCGTGAGTTCTCAAAAACAAAACCGTGAGGGAATGGTAAGCCCAAAGCGGACAATATCGTGCTACGGTGGTGGAGCGAACCCAGGAAGTGATCTGCCCCGAGCCGAGATGTGACAATCATGCACAACAATATTTTACCATAATGAACTCTTACTATACTCTCTCATCCCAGTCGCATTTTTTGTTAAAATTTTGTTTGCTTTACTTCCATCCATAAGTATAATATCTTTTCATTGTTTTTCAAATCTTGATGAAACTATGAAGACACAAACAACAGCACTCAACTCCTTTTTCAACCCTGTATCCAATTACACAAATAAGAATGCAGCATTTTTATTACAGCATGTAATTCTCCTCTTCCTATATTCTTCCCCTTTTTCTAACCAAATAAAAATTTCCAAAACTATATACGAATTTTTTTATAAAAAAACAATACATAATTCAAGCAAACAAAGAAAAAAAACGAAAACTCTTTTGTGAGATTGTATTACTTTGTTAGCAACCAGCAGCAAAATGTTTCATCTTCTCACCAATTAATAAGTCGGTAAACAAATGACTAAACTTTCTTAATCACAAAAGGCTAAAAGCAAAAAACAAAAATCACTCACCTTAATGATAAAAGCACTTTGAACAGTCGCATCATCTCATTGTTTAGAAACTGAAAATCTGTAAAGTGTTAACATTTAAACATATATCAAAAATGGCCTCATCACTTGGATTAATTCTTCAAGAAAGCTTCCCAATACTGAAGAAGCGACACTTCTCCCTTGCCTTGGAGCAGTCTTTTACTTTCAGGCTTCAACCAATGAGTATATTCAACCAATAACTGAGTTTGGAAATATACAACATAGATAATAATTTTCCTGAATTAAACTCAAATCATATATATATGAAATTTTTTTAAATCATGTATAATCCAAATTCCAGTCCCAAAAACAAACCATAATTTTAAAAACTACAAACATGCAAAACCCAAATCAAATCTTCAAGTCATTTCAGATTTTATCAATAACTCACCAACCCAATACACACAAAAGAGTAAATTACCTGAGCTCGCGGCTGCTCAAGTAGTTTCTAACGACATACAGATGGAGCAACAGTGCAAACACATACGGAGACGGAGAGGGAGAGAGAAGTGGGTTCGACTGTTTGAGGATTAATGACGAACATGTGGTGAGCGCTCTAACGTCGGCAGATTGGGAGGCGTGGAGGTGCCTCATGCCTTTAAGTTTCAAGGTTTTTACTATGGAATCGAAGCAAAACCCAGATCAGATTCTAAGTGGGTTTATCAAAAATAATAATTTATTCAGGAATTAATACTGAAAATAAATCAGAAATTAACACTGAAAATAAATTAAGAATCCAAAAAAATTGAAATTTTCATACCTTTCTGGGTTTTACTGTGGAATCCAATTGAGAACCACCTAAAAAACGAAATCACGTACGCTAAAAAAATGCAAAAATCACCCAAACACGTTAAGACTACGCAAGCAAAAAACAGATTTCAATCGAATTGAAAAAGGCAGAAATCTGTAGCCCCTCCACCGTTCATGAACGAGCAATTTTCCAGAAGAAAAATGAAGGTGAATAATCAGACGGAGAAACTTGCAAAGGGTGGACACCAAGAACAACACTAGCGTGGAAGAGAAAAAACGTTAGACAATTTGCAGAAGCTAAGGATGGAGAGAGAGAAGCGAACGGAAAGAAAAAGCAACGAAGAAATCGAAGGAGAAGGATTAGCGATGATAGACGCGTGGCCACCGAGGGCAATGTCGCCATTTCACTGGCCAAAAAGTGGAAAACCCGGACAACCAAGAGCAATTTTGGGGCATTCTGGGGAGTTCACTGTTAATGAACAGTGTTAGGGAAACTGAGTTTTAGTATATATAACTAGCAAAAGTGCCCGCGCATTGCTGCAAATGTTTAAAATATTTTGATAATATGTACATACAGAAAACAGGATTTATTGAAATTAGATTTATATACCTAAGATAGAGATTGGCAGTGTGCAATTCCTCACTGTTATAAAGATAGAGATTCTATGAAAGCTATATTCATGTACAGAAGTTCATAATATCAAAATCGTTCAAGTACGAAAAATATTCATGTCCATATCAGAAGCTTGGCACCACACATCTGCTCAGTGTTTATGATTTTTCCTGGTCAATCTTTTGGTCTTGCTTGTTTGGGAATGACCATCTTTTTCTTGGTCATCATGTTACTTTTTGCGTTGTCCAGAATTTTTCTCTTGGTATATATTAAGAATTGGAATCAGTAAGAATTGAATATAAAAAAACTAAATTTTTTCAATCTATTTACCCAATGAATTGATGGAAGAGTGAAAAAGAGAAAAAAAAAAAGGCCATTATTCAATTATATGGGGAATTACTTGATACGTACAAAAGGTTTGAAAATTAAACTAACATTAAAAAAAAAAAAAAAAAAAAAAAAAGATGAGATGGAGTGGAAATCACATACCAACATCAAGCTTAAAATTGTAGTGCTCATTTGTAGTGTTATCTGCAATTAGTCCTATTAGGAGCTTCTGCACTGGTTGATGTCTCGGTCTTTTCCTTAGCTGTATGTACATTGTAGACTTGGGTAGATGAGAAGCAGAAGAAAATAAAAATATAAGTTAAAGTTACAACTTAACTATCTATGTTGATTCATGTCCAACACATAATAAGAATAGCGAATCATTTTTTATCTTGTGCACTGGTTTGTCATTGTCACTCGAATTCACATATTCATTTACTCCAAATTTCTTAGTTATGGTCAGGGAAAGAATGTTTAAGCAAAAATATGTTTCTATGTTTTCCCACTAAACTACCTGTTAAACCAAAGCTAAACGTCAAAAATAAAAAATAAAATACCTTCGTCAAACCTCTTGGGCTTCAAGTCCACCGACTCCACCCCAATACTCTGGCACCTCAGAAATTTTTCCACCTTTAGTAGCCTAGATCATCCATGTATCAGTATAAATACGGAAAAAAAAAATGTAAATGCAATTTATTAGAACAAAGAATTTGGGATCAACAAAGTTTGTCCAAACTTACAGCGAGACCAATAAACAACTGAGGATAATTTTTCGTTTTGCTACATTGAGAGGGGAACCCAAACCTGATAGTAAAAAAAAAAATATTCAATAATAATGCAAACGATTCAATATGTAGTATCAGATGAGGATGCATAATTCAAGGCTCTAAAGCATTGAGTACGACACCAAACCTGTTGGTATGGCACAACTAAGGATGCAAACTTTGTCCAACTGAGCAAGGGGCTTGATTTTGGAAAGACGGCCAGAATGAACAACAATGTATTCACTCGAAGTAAATATGCCTGGAAAACTCTACTCATAGTTTACAAATCTGCAATTCTCAAAGCTTAATCATATAAAATCATATATATATATATATATGTATGTAGTAGATATTATTGCAGACCTTCGGCAGAAGTAGAGTTCAATGTGATAAACTGAGGTATATTTGACCTTTATCCTCATTTCCATGGCCTTAGGTAGAGCAACCTTCACCCTCTCCATCACCAACAGCTTCCCTGCTATACAGAAAAGCTGGTTATGCTGTAAAACAACAATAAGCAGGAATAAATTTGTATGCATCTAATTGTTTTCAGAACTGGAAAAGTCAGGAATATTGCTAACTACTTGCTGGGAGAATTTTTTAGGTGTTTTTGTTTAAAACTGGCTCTACAAACATGCATCAAATAAAGTACATAATTCTACAAATAAAGAGCACGTATGTAATTTATCAATCTGCCCAGTTTTCATAGATTTCATAATTTATCAACCTACAAACATGCTCTTCATAAACCGACGATGGCAAGATGAGAACAAAACGCTGGCCAACAAAGGGTTCGTCACCGGAGAAGACCGGAAACAAAACACCCAATAAAATCAAACAAAGGGTTGCACACCGGAGAAGACCCGAATCCAAATCCAAAATAAAATTAAAGTCAGGATCTCTTCTAACGACTATTCTGCGAAGAAAGAGCAAAGATTTGGCAGCAAAAGAGGGAACGATGAAGAGGGAGAAAATCGCACAGCAAGGAAGGTCAAAAACAAAGAGGAAAGGTAAAGTAGAAAAACAAAGATGAAAGACGCGTGACCCGGAAGGGCAAAAGCGACTTTTTACTGTATAAAAATGAAACAGTAGCGATCCAAAGAAGAAACTCGAGGGCATTTCCGCCCTTTCACTGTTCAGAACAGTGAAAAACAGTGCCTACGAAACTGGGTTTTAGTTACAGCTGGAAAAAATTTCCGAAAATTCTAAACCAAATCGAAAAAATCTCAAACTCAAACCGAAAAATCCCAAACCGAAACTATCCCGAACTTTGATAATCCTATATCAAAAAATACCGAAATATTCGGTATGAAATTGGTTTCCAGATTTCTTTTCTTCGGTATTCCCGAAATCCCGAAATCCCGAAATCTTCTTTTGCTTTTGGTTCCTACTTTCCAGCGCTACATCTGCAAAGAACAATGAAAAATAAAATAAAAAGCAGAGCCTTTCGGTTCCACTAGCAAAGGAACAAAAATAAAATAATGTGGAAAAGGCATGTGATGGCGATGCCTTGTCGGTTTGGGATAAAAGCACAAAGCTTTTTTGGAAACTAAAAGCACTAAGCTTTTGTTTTGGTTTTGAATCTTGATTCTTGAGGCAGAGAGAGAGAAGCAGTCTTCGGGTTGGGAAGCAGAGATAGGAAGAAGCTCTCTCGTCTCTGGCCTCGACCCATTTCTCTCTTTATCCTCTCTAAAGCTCTCTCGTCTTTGGGTTATGAATCCTCAACGCTGCGCAGGCACGATTTATAACCCACAACAAATAATTCCATTTGATGATCACTGAAGCTCGAGAGAAAAAGATTGGATTTTTGCATGTGGGTTCTTAAGGATTTGTGCAGAAATGGCATAAGAACATGTGATTGTGAAGAGGAGTGGGTGTGGCCATGTGGGGTTAGGAGCGAGGTGGACTCAGAGTCGCCGCCGTGCTCGAAGAAAAAGATTGGATTTTTGCATGTGGGTTCTAAAGGATTTGTGCAGAAATGGCATGAGAAGATGTGATTGTGGAGAGGAGTGGGTGTGGGGTTGGGAGCTAGGTGGATTGGAGTCGTCGCCATGGTCGTTGCTTTCTGAGAATGGTGGAGGTGGCAGAGGAGAATGGTATTAAGATCTCTCAGGAGGAGGCTTGTGAAGAAGCCATTGGAGATTGCTGGTGTTGGCTGCGTCCCGAACCATACCAAAAAATCGAAAAACATTCGGGAATACCGAAATTCGGGAAAGGCAAAATTTTGGATCGGTTTCCGTTGCTGAAATCTCATCCCGAACTTTTTCAGTTCGGTATTTGGTATATAGTTTTTGGTTCGGTATCCCAAACCGAACCACCCTAGTTTTAGTATATGTATAATTTGTTAAATAAAAGAACATTATTTTAATCCCTAAATAAGATAATTTTTGCAATAATATGTAAGATTAAAAACTAAAAATAGTCCTCCATGTCACATTTAGTCTTTTTTTTATTTTTTTATAAATTCGACAAACTTACAAATTCAATTCAGGAAGATCCGGAGGTTGGATTTTTTATTTGTAAATTTCTAAGGTTCTCAAATGATACCTACAACAACATATGGTAATTCATAATGATCGAATAGTCAGATCTTCGTCTACTACAAAGATAAATAATCTACAATTTCCTTCAATCCGGAAAATCCAAATATCGGATTTCCGATCCGTAGATTCCTAAGGTCCTTAACTAATACGTACAATAACATACTAAAATTTGATGACGATCCAATAGTTGGATTATCAACTACCATACAAGAGTCTACAATCTAAGATTCTTTAATGCGAAAGATTCGTACATCGGATTTTCGATCCGTAAGTCTCTACGGTCCTCATATACTACGCATGATAACATATAAAATTTCATAGCGATCCAACGGTTGGATTGCCATCAACTAAATTTGAATGGTGGTACGATTTCCTTTAAATCAAAGTAATCGAACCGTTGTATAATGATCAACAAATGGACCTTGGAACCAGATCCAGAACATTGAGGACATCTCGTTGTACAAAAATCCAATTCGCAAAAGTCCCCCATGCACCGCCATATGCTCTAGTTTTGGTGAACGAAAACCTGAGTTTCTGACTATCTCCAATCATTCCCAAATTGCACAGGCTCTTTAAACTTGGACACAAAGGACGGGTATTATGCCTTCGCCAGCTGGCATAACCCAACATTAGCTCAACAACTAAACAGTTTATGTGGTGACTGAGTGGCATGATAACGTCAATTCAAATTAGAATAGTTCAAAACTATTAAAGATACCATAAATTGTGAATTATTATGTTCAGCACTAGAAGTAATCA